CAGTGTTAGTAGCAAAAACAATGAGTCTTTCTGCAAGGAACAATATATTCTAAAATGAAATGGAGATCTTTTTTAAAGGCTAAAAACTCATCCAATTTTATGTCTTACAGGCCATATACTGTGTTCAATATTGTATAACTATTAATTTGAACCTAAAAATTTACAGCCACTTTTGAAAGAGATGTATCCTTGCTCTGAAGTGTGTTACTGAATATGTTAAAGCTATAATGAAATGCTTCTTCTAATCATGTGGTTATTAAATTTTGAAAAAATTATAAAAATTCTTCAAAGCATAAAAATTTGCTCCTTAATAATTGGTGGATGTGAAAAACATTACCATTGAAATCTATCTGATGACTTTATATCCATGCTCAGATGCCAAGGAGCCCAGAAAGTAACCGACTGTGACTAGTAATAATCAGATATATAGAGATTAGAAATGCATGTGCAAACTGGCTACCAATCTAGGAAACTGTGTAGTTCTTAAGTGAGTAACAGAGAGAACAACAGCAGAGGAAATATGAGTTTTGCTCAAGGTCATCAAAGGATGCATGAACATATACAGGCATTTGTGCATGCCCATTGTGCTACTGAAGTGCAACTCATATAGTTCTTACACACACACACACACACCCCACCCCACCCGGGAAACCATCAAGACAATTCAACATCAGTTTGGGGCTCTTTCTGCAGATGGATTGTGCTACTCTGGTTGTCCTTTGTTCTTCTACAGTTACATAAAAATGTTGATAGGATTCTGCTGTCTGTTTATGACTGCTCTCTTATTTATTAAGAGTTCCTGTTGTCTGCTAGAGTGATGACTTTCCTATGATGTTGATATTCAGTATTACAGATTTCTTTATGTCTCATTCCAGGAAAAATGTTATTGGACCTCTATTGTCATAGTTTAATTTTGTGATTCTTGTTCATCACATAAAAGCCACACAAGTGCACACTCATTGTCTGGCTTCTTTGGCTTAACACTAACTCTATGAAATACATCTATGCTGTTGTATACAGGTATTGACAATCTGTTCTTTTTATTGCTCAAATGTATCACAATGTATATATATATATATAAAACATTGATGGATATTTGGGTTGTTTCCATTTGGAGACTATTATAAATTAACCCATTATTGACCTCTTCACAGTTTTATGGACATAGTTGCTACATGCATTTTCCTCTAATCTGAACTTCTTAGAAGTACAACTGCTAGTTTCTTAGGCACATACACACTCAGCTTTACTAGATTCTACAAAATAGCATTTCTCCTGAACCATTAAAGAGAAAAGCAACATTATCTTTTCAACAGTCAGATTTGTTCAGTTTTCTTCTTTTATATCACACATTTAAAGGAAAGTTAGACAGCCTCTAGTATAATTACTCTATTCCAGCTAAAAAAATCACAATCACCTTGGAAATCTATTTAAAAGCAATTCCTTGATGCATCCATCCTTAGCCAAATACAACTCTGCTGATCAATGAAATCGACAACTACTGTTCCATCATTCTGTTACTGGAATCAAAACTATAAAAGCAATGAATGGGTTAAAAATGCATTTCTAGGAAAATTTTAAAAATTTCAAATATAGTATATTACTATTTTGTCTGATCTTAATTTGTTTACATTATTTTTAGGTGGAGGTTAAAAATGAAAGCCAAAGGTATTCATTATTCTCTTCTCTTCTACTGTCTTTCTAATGAAGAAAACAGTTGTAGATTAAATACGGTAAGCATAGCCAGGAGGTGGTGGATCCCACTTGCAATCCCAGTACTCAGGAAGCTAAGGCTGGAGGAATGTAAGTTCCTGGCCTTCCTGAGATACATATGAGTTCATAAAACTAAAACCTGACAGCTATTACATTTAAAGAAAATTAGCAAATTCAAGTTCTAATGTTTTCAAAACTGAAGGGCTCCCTTTTTAAATACAAAGCTCTATAAATCAACCACATCAGAAATAGAAAATGAACAAAAGAAAATCTCATGACACATGTGAAACTGCAAGTAACACTTTTTTCAAAAGATAATAACAACCTGAAACTTGACACTTACAAGTCATTTAACCAATCTGACAATGATCATGAAGAAGTCATACCCTTAAATAAGTAACACTTGCAGAGCGGACTCTCAAATTCTTGGAGAAGATAAATAAATGAAAATAGCATCAAACCATCTTCTTCATCTACCAAAGACAAGTAAAAAACTATAGAAAGCTTAGTTTTCCAAGATGTCAGAGAAGCAGGACTTAACAACAACAAATAAAACAAAGGTTTGGACAAAGTTAGGGATGATATCATTAATTCCCTGAAAAATGATGGATGGAAAATATGGTTGGCATGCAACTGACTTAGAGAATAAATAACTGAAGCCACATGCTGGGCAGATAAAAGGACTGCTTTTCAGCAATGCAACCAAAAATATATGACTACAAGCCTCAGCAAGCAAACACATAAACCATACACAACACATATTAAAGAGATTTCTGAGACCTTACAGGTTACATATAACACAGGAGATCAAAGTCCTGGCCCATCACCAGCTATGTGTTTGCATTTTAAAGGATGGCAGTGGAAAGAACACAAAGGCTCAGACCTATGTATGCAGAGTGTGTCCAAGGTGGTCAGAAGGGAGGGTCAAAGTACATTCCTCTTGCTAGAAAAGATGACTGAGGGAAAACACAAACCCACACTTGCCCAATGAACCAACAAGAGGCAAGGGCACATTTGCCTTTCTGGACTACTCCGAAGCTGGCATTCCTTTCCCTTTCCTATACTATAAGTCAGCCTTAAAACTACAGTGTCCTTTACCACGTCAGCATTTTATGATGTGTCTTTCACCAAGTGCCAATGCTGTCTTTGACATGTAAATGTGCACCCTCCCAAAAATACTTTTCACTCTGCATCTCTGCAGTCACACACACACAAAAAATAAGTTACTGATACTTTTAAGGTATACCTTAAACATCAAAATCGAGCTTCAAATTTAACTTTTTTTTTAATCTTCAATGACACCAAAATCATAATCAAATAAACATCAAAACATTCACATAAGTTATTTTACTTTTATATATTTAGAACAGATAAAATGACCCACCAAGGCAATCATTCAAGCCTTAGTTATAAATGGCAACTCATATATGAGATGACAGGACATGTTTATAACAGACATCAGTTATCAAATGGGGAGGGGGGGAGTCACACATTAAGGATCCCACAAAATCCCAGAACATGTAAATTAGCACCATTATTCACTAATAAAAGTACTATTATTTCTTTTAGTAACAATTCACCTAGACATTTTCATTCCTAATTAAAACTATATATATATATAGAATTTTAATGCTTATTTAAATCAAATGTATGACTATAACTAATAAAAGCATTGCAATTAAACAAATTTATACAAATAGAGTCTTATGTGGAGTTTACATATTATAGAAACACAGTGTACCCACATATCCATGAGACCAGTCAGACTATATCAAGTATGCATCTCAAGAGAGTACTTTCTCTATAAGTTTATCTTTAAAACTTATAGAATCTACTAGAAATTTTAGATTTATACTCTTAGAACTCCAATTTAATTAATATCTTCTTTTTATGCTATTCAGTTGCTAAAATCACAATTTTTTAGCATGATGTTTAGCACATACACTATTTTATACCACATACTTACTACATCAAACTTCTGAGTGATGTTTCCCTGGACATCAAGTAAATAAACCTTGCCATAATGTGTGCCCAGTGCCAAAAACTGTAAGAAAAACACAGAAGTCAATTAAGGAATGCTCAATATTTTATTACAAAATAATAAAAGCATTTTCAGCATCAAAACACTTAATGCATAAATATCTAAATATCTGCACGACCTTGGAAGCTATGCATTCCTTAGAAAAGCTTGTCTCCAGCTTGCAGGAAATGACAGAACAGGGTCTATTTTACCATGACAGTGCAAGCCAGCTGTCAAAATGACTCATGAGGGCCCTCATCTACTGACAACTAATCGTGTATATGCAGTCTGTATACAATGCCTGATGGACTGAGGCAGTAAATTAAAAATGCCGCTGTGAAAGCTTACCCAACCCACGGCTGAACTCAAAGTCAGAAGGCAATGATTAAGAAAGTCTCCCTAGGTTAAGGCAAATGTGTAAATCTGTGCTATCATCTAAGTTCAATGAAAAAAATGCACAATAATAATAAAGTATTACTTTCTGAATGGAAAACCCATGCCATACTGAAGGATGAAAAGCCTCAGATGAACTTATACTATCAGCTTTAGGATGCCTCTATAAATGCTACTACATAACACTGGGTGTAAATGTTTATATTCTGATGCAAAAAAAAAAAATCCTTTTCTGCCACTAAATAACTGTTGAGCTACATATTCGTTTTATGATAAAAGACTGGTTCATACACCCCACTGTTTCTTTATTCCTTTGAACTGATCCTAAGCAAGCCAGAAGAAACTTGAAGACTACCTGAAATATGACATGAGATTTTTCTTCCATTTTATTTCTTTAAGCATTACTAAAGTAGTCCAGAATCCCGTATTTCACTGAACGCGAGCATGCTTCATTGCAACCTATAATGAAATGCTCAAATTCACAGGCACTACTAAGCATTTCACTCAAGCAGCACAATCTTTAAAAATAACCTTATAGAAAGTCAAGATTTAAAAGGATTTATCAAAATAGAACTGCTTAAAATGAAATTTCAGTTCAGGCACTTAAAATATGAAGCTACATTAAAGAGGAGCCACAAAAAGGGAAGGAAGGGGTTCATTAGAGATTCATCTCCTGCAATGCCTTTCACTCCTGCAAGGTTGCCTTTTTTCAGGAAGAAAAAAGTCCCTCGGGTAAAAAAATCAATACTGGTTAATAAAACATCAGGTGTGCAGACATAACTGGGGATGACGATTCCGCTGCACAGGTCTGCCTGAATGCACCAGGTGCCGTGACGATTAGTCATCCCGGGCAGACAGCAAGGCTGGGCAAACAGGAGGCTTGGGCGCTACAAGAGGAAGGGAGAAGAGGGAATTCTGGGGGGAAATTAGTCTGAATATTTAAACCAAACAGGAATGCTTTCTCCAAAGCTCAAGACCATTCTAATCAGAACTGGAGGACCCAAGTGGCTGTAATTTTATCTTCACAGAGACACTGACAGTGCTTGAATAGAAAAATGCCATACAAAATACTAACTGAAAGAAAATGATACTCCATTTGAAGGCTTTCTGTGGTAAAAAATGGATCTTAAAAGCGCACTGTACCCTAAATATCTCACGGTATTGATTCTCTTCATAAATACTGCATGTAGTTTGTTAGGAAACTAAGGAAGCTCAGATCCTTAAAACGCTTAATGTTGTGTCACTCGGTGGCACCACTGTAAAGGCCATTTTTGTTTGCATTTTATTTTATGACAAATTTGGAGGTTATAGTCAGAGTATTTCATTCATATTAATTCCTTCTCTTGTTTTCCCAAAGTTGCTAGTTTTATTCATTTATGAAAAAAACAGTGCTTTATGACAAGCTACCTTTTATGACAAGCTACCTTTTGTTTACGAAAACATCTAACCATTTACATTAGTAAATTTCTGCTACTGCCTTTAAGAAATAAGCAACCAAATGCCCTTCCAAAAACCTTCAATTACACATGAGGAAATACGTTCTGGAAACTGATGAGATTTCCTCAGTCAATGAGTGGCAGTCAGGGGCAGAAATAACACTAAAACATGGGCTAAGGAGGCAGCTCAGTGGCTGAGCGCTTATCTAGCATTGCCTGGCATGCCCTGCACCTAGTTCCTAGCAATGCAAACACCAAATGAAAGAAAAGCTGAAATACTCTAAACTGATTTGGAATCCTCTTAATAAACATACGACCTCAGATTAAAGTGTATTCTCTAAATGTCAGCAACGAAAGTTGTCCCCAACTCTGGCCCAGTTGTTAGGTATCGTATTTATTAATGAAGGGGCAAACTCTGTTCTCCATTCCATTCATTCAACTGTTCATCCCACAAACACACACAAGCACTGTACTCTATGTCAACAATGAGATGTGACATGAAGTTTGGTATATCGAGGGAGACAGATATAAAAATAATTAATTGCAACTTAATAAAAGACACTGCTTAAAATAGCAGGATCTCTTAGATCCTGTGGGACACAGGAGGTATCAGCTGTGATGAATCTTGAAATCAGAAAAACCCTTAGAAAACAGAAGCAAACAGGGTAAAAAGGCCATTTCAGGCAAAGCAGATAAAACTTGCTCAACAGCATGAAGTTCCCCAACAACAGGACAGCCAGCAAATTATAAGCAGCTTTAATGGACGAGGGATCCATCTAATTCATGTCCAAGAGAAAAGGCAGATGGCCTGGTAGGAAATATTGACTAATGAAAAGCACTGAGTTATTATCGAGAGATGAACTGTAGGAAAGCACAGGGATGTGTGGTGGATAAGTCCAAACCATTAAGGCATCAGGAAGCCAATAAAGAATTTCAAGAAGAGGAGTACATGAGCTGATCAGAATTTCTTGAGGTCTAACTTTGGCTAATGTGCTATGAAGAAGACTGGAATGAAAGCAGATCTGAAAGAAAACAGAGCAGGTTACAGCATGTGCATTGTTCCAGGGAGAAACAGATGTCCCAACTAACAGAAGCTTGGAGGCAGAGAGGATTCAAGCAAGTAAGATGGTGGTGGAATCTGAGCAAAAGAGGTATCATGCAAAAATGGTATGTGCCACCATGGTCTCACACCTCCAGCAAAGGGCGTGCGGCAGAAGCTCAATTATACCTAACTGGAAAGAGCCTAGTGCACCTCAGGTAACACATTGACAAGCTCAGACTTTATGAAGATGCACTTCATGCAAGGGTTTAAAAAACTCTGTATCTTCAACACAGCATCCTGCAACCATGACACAAAAGGGTGTATGTGAAAAGAGGATGAATGCCCCATTTACCACGTGCAGGAGAAGCCAAAAGCCACGCTCCAGCTGGGGAGGACCCGAATCACCAGGACTTGAGGAACAGCTGTGGGGAAGGAGAGAATGAGCCACTTTGGCTTAGGTGACAAAGGAGATGGTAATGCTACCAAACGGGACACAATGTATGAAGCAGATGCAAGTGTAGAAGGAAAAGAAGGGAAGCTCGATATGTGCATGGGGTTCAGGCGAAAAGAGAAGAAAGGGGAGGAGGCACCTAGAAAGCACACATGGTACTCTGATGAGGAGTCAGCATATAGTTGATAACAGGAATCAACCATATTTTGAGAAAACTAGTATGTCAGGTGAAAGTAGAAGTAAAGCAAAAGACATAGAAAGGATATCAGAAATTACCGAAAAGACAGTGAAAAGGCAGGACTGGGATAAAATTTTGAGGGGAGAGGAGAAATACACAACTTAGAATCCACAAAATGTCTGTCAACTGGTAAATGGATGAACATGATGGTATATGACCATACAATGGAATATGCCTCAGTAGTAAAAAGGAATCAAGTATTGATCCATGCTATGACACAAATGAACTTCAAAACATTATTTTAAAAAATAAATGAATAAAAGTAAAAGAAGTCATGCAAAAGAAACCAAATAATATATGACCGCATTGCTCTGAACTGGCTAAAATAGGCCAGCTATTTATAAAGATATAAAGTAGACTACTGGCTGTCTAGGACCAATATTGAGCATGTTTTATGATATAACAAGTATGTCTATGAGAGGAAGAAGAGATGAAGAACGAAAGTGGAACCAGAAGACCTCCTATACAGCTAGGGATGGTGTGGACTCATCAGGAGGGGGAAGACATCAGAAACTGAGGCTGATCCTGCATCATGGTTTCAATTTTCTTAAAGAGAAATGACACTACTTGGGGTTATGGTACATGCCTGTAATACAGACACTCAGGAGGCTGAGGTAGGAAAATCATGAGTTTGAGGACACAACCAAAAATCTAAGGTTGGGGGTTGACATCATCTGAGAGTAAGGGCACTGAGGCTGAGAAGGGAGACTGGGAACTAGTGAGGGAAGACAGGCTACAGCAATTTCTGGTGAAAAAAAAAAAACAAAAAACCAGTCTTGGGTATGTGAAACTGCACTGTACATGGCTGCTTGGAGCACTGCAGCAGGGATTCAGACGTGCAAGTGTGGCTGAAGGGATGATGAGAAGACGGGAACATAAGACAAAAGAATATGCTGGTAGGGTAACAGTAATTAATGGTCTCACAGAAACAGAAAACAAGAGGAAAAGAAAGGATAGAGATCTAGACTCCACAGACATGAATTATGTGAGAAAATGAGAAAGGATAGAGATCTAGACTCCACAGACATGAATTATGTGAGAAAATGAGTAGGAAAACTTGAAGAGAGACTAGAGACTAAAGATTGACTTCCAACTACTGATGCCATCCAGAATGTGGTCGAAACAGTGAAAAACATTAAAAAGAGGAGATGCTCAATGGAATTAAGTGAGAGCTGCAAGGCCAGTCTTCAACAGTGAAGGTAAGAGGTTTTTAGGGTACAGACACCAAGGAGCAGTGAGTCACCAAGGTTTTACAAGCAAAGGGCAGGGGCCACCCAGGAGGAGGTTATGGTAGAGCAAAGAGAACAGACATTATCATTACAATATTGATTGAACACAGGAATCTGTTTAGGATTTGAACAAAATCTAAAGCAAAAAGGAATTAGGGGAAAGGGAAAGGGGAGAATGGGACAACAGGGCATAAAACCAACAGAAGCATCAGGGGTGGGAATCTGCCTGACTAGGACTCAATCCCAGGCTCACAGGGAAGAGACTGATAGTTGAAAACATGGCCTCCACTACTACTATAACCATAACATAAACAGCTTGAACTCAGAAAGTCAGTGAGAACTCCACCAGTACGGACCCAGATGGAAGTGTGTGAAGTCCTCAGAGGGGGCACATTACCTTGTCGTGGACTGTCATGCAGCTCGCTGCATCCTTCTGAAGAATCTCTGTCACCCCATTGGAAAGCCTTTCGTACTTCAGTTTGGGCTCCTCTTCACTCTCTTCTTCCTGCGTGAAGAGCAGAGGAAAATCGCGTCCTTTGTGGATTTGTTTTGAAAGACTCAAAGCCCCCATCTTGTTGGGGGGAGGGGAGCAAGAGATGGCTCCTCACTTTTCCATAACTACAACTAAAAACATAAGTTAGGACTTGTGTTTCTTTTCGCCAACTAGGTATACGAACTTCACTGGTGGAATCAATTCAAAACTGGGAAACATGACTGTCTGAACTTACTATTGTACTGTCACTAACTTTGGATGCTCAACCTTACTGTTTGATACAGCATCATAAGATATTCTCCATCCTCGTAGTTAATGAACAAAGTTAATAATCAATATTGATAATAATCACAAATAAATCTAGGATAAATGAAATTACTGATTTGAAAAATGAAGATTATTATTGTTATTACTATTATTTTGTCTTTTTATGACAAGGTCTCCCTATAGACCCAGCTAGTCTATAACTTGCTATGTATGGCAAGTATGTATGTAGGCTGGCCATGATCTCACAGAGGTCCACCTGCCTCTGACTCCCAAGTGCTGGGATTAAAGGTATGCATCATCACATCCAGCTAATTTTATATTAAGTTAAAAAAAAAAAGTTTACATAGCTGCGATAGCATAAAGTTAACCAAAATAATCCAATCACTGACATTTCCTTTAAAAAATAATTGGATGATCTTCACCTTCAAAGCTTCCCACCCAGAATAACTGGGGAGGCCTGAAGGACATACCTGCCCAGTCTTCCAGGGGAGACTGAAGCAACCTTAAGTACAGGGGCCAAGATTCCAGGGTTGTAGAGAAACCAATGTTCTATAGGACTGTCCTCCAACAGACAGACACCATCTTCTGTCCCAGGCAAGCTAGGTTGCACCCACTTGCCCAGGATCGTCGTCATAGCTGAGCTTGTTAACTGTCAGGGCCCTCAAGGAAGGAGGGGCAGGGAGAGTCACAGGACCCCAACAGTCCAGCCACACCTCTCAACCAACCAGTCTGTCCTAGGTGCATGAGGCCTGGGAGAGGGGCTAAGGGTATATAGGCTGTGGAAGGCTAGAGAGGGTCTCTCAACATTTTACATGGCTATGGGGAAGTCACCATTCATGTTTGGATGGAAAATTTCCAGTGTGGTCTCTGGAGGGTGTTGGGGAGCACCCACACTCTTATTAGTAAACACTCACCCACTGTTCTATAAGTAAGCCCAATAAGCCCATTGATTTCCAAGGCTGCAGTTTGGTGAAATCAACCTCAGAGTGTCATTGGAACCAAGGGAGAAGGGGGCAGATACTGTTTACATCCCTCCAGAAGGAAGTTTAGCAACAACCAAGTAGAGGTGAACTGGCATTCAACAGACACTGTCTTCAAAAAGAGATTTACCAGGCAGAGAACAGAAGCATTGTAGTGAAAAACAGCTACTGCTGGAGGTAGGGGAAGCAGCAACCACCTTTGTATCTATGGAGACAGGGTGACAAACTTGTAAACTTGAGGGACCAAGATCATGGTACAAAAGTGGCAGAAAAGTAAGCCTGTTAGACAGCCAATTTTCTCTACAACGTTTCTATCATGTTCTAAAGGTGCATAGAGTATGAGACTAAAAAGAAAGAGAAGCCTCAAAAAGGAAAAAAAAAAATCCTTTTATGTATTGGAATTAAGAGTTCTGAAGTCATTAGGAATCTGGGTCCTGGTGAATTCCACAGGCTCACATTTAGAAATCCTCATCCAGAAGAGATACCGAACTAACCAAAATGCTAACTGAGATCTGACACAGTTTAATTCCTGATTGGACCAAAATACATAACCCCCATGCTATCTGTGTAGGAAATGAGAGGAGATCTCTACTCGGCAGAGAGAAAACTATGGGAGCCTGGATAATTTTTTACTTATAATACATAAGAGTTCAATAAAGTACCAGGTATGCCAAGACAGAATCAAAATCCAAAAATCAAAAAAAAACCAAAAAAAAAAAAAAAAAACAAAGGACTATAAAAATAAATCCAATCCAAGGAGTGAGTTACAGAGTATCCTGCGTGTAATCCTAGACCTGGGGAGGCTGAGGCAAGAGGCTCACATCAGCTCAAGGCCAGCCTGAGTCTCAAAAAGTAATTAATTGATTAAAATAAAACCATGAAGGGCCTACACGCTATAATTAGAGGGAAAGAATTTTAAAATAACAATGACTATATATTCAAACAAACAAAAAAATAAATAAATAAACCCAAAAGAAAAACTGGATGAAGAAATTTTCCACAATTATAATCTAAACAAGAATCAAATGAAAATTTCTCAAAATGAAAGCTTTAGAACTGACAAACATAACTGAAATTAAGACGCCAATGGATAGTTTAAAGGAATTTCAGCAATGTAGGAGACTAGAGTCATGAGATGGAAAACATGTATTCACAACTCATTTATGGCCATATGGCTGTCCCCAAAGGGAAGTCCAGAGAGGACAAGTGGGTATGTGACCTGGGACACAGTGAAAAGGTCTAGCATGTTGTTGTACATCTACTGCCTTAAAAATTACACAATTACTTATCTTGTCTAGCATATGACAAGAACAAGAGTCTTTAAAACCATTTACTCACTAACTTACTGTTAATTAGTCCCAGCACGATAAGAAAAGTGGGAAGAAGCTGGAGGAACATTTAAAGAGAGAACTGAGAATATTTTAAGACTACTAATATGTCTTCTCACAAGCTGAAGAAACTTTGCACCCCCAAGCAGGAAAAACACTCAGGGAATTGTATACAGAGTGCATCATAATAAAGAGAATCCTAGGGCAGAGAAAAAAATGACTTGAGAAATAAGTGTTGTGCCCACTGAAGAACATAACTCAAGATGGCACAGAACGCAGACTGCACCCTCCAACTGCACACTCCAGTGCAGGTCTATTGTCAAGCAAAGATCTGCATGTCCAGGAGGAAAAACACTAATGCATGAATGAATGCAAAGGGTAGGATTTACTCGGTATAACATTAGAAGTCACACATCAATTATCTCACCTCATTCTAACTTGAAAAATAAAAACTTATGAAGGGTTATATGTAATTATCCCATTGCAAAGATTTTTAGTAAAAACTGATTATCGAACTTTTTCATTAACTTCCTCAAGGTACACAGTGGGTAGAGATAAAGCCAAAAATAATAGTCACAAATGCTACAAGTCACTACTCAGATTGTCAACATACTATCCACCATCCTCCAAAATGGCTATAAACCATAACAGAAGCCTCTGTAACCTCTACGCCTACAAATAACCATAAACTAGGTGAGTAATAGAAAATACCTTCAAATGTGCTTTCTTAGCAGGTACATGAGTTACCTATTACTGTGTAACAAATTGCACCAAAACAGTGTTTTAAAACAACAATAAATGTTTTGTTTTACACAGTTGCGTAGGTAAGCACTTCAGCAGGACCTAACTAAGTGGATCTTCTAACATCTTGCATGGGGTTACGGGTAAGACATCAGTTGAGCAAGCATCAGACCTAAGTGTTCAACATCCTTAATCATCGGAAAAATCAAAATTAAAACTACTTTGAGATTTGACTCCAGTAAAAATGGCTAAGATTAAGAAAACAAATGAAAACAAATGCTGGTGAGGATGTGGGGAAAGGAGAACCCTTATTACCTGCCAGTGGGATTGCAAACTGGTGCAGCCAGTGGAGATTTATAGCTCCCACACGTATTCCCAAAGAGTGCTATATCCTCCTACTACAGAGATACTTGCTCCTCCATGCTTGTTGTTGCTCTATTCACCATAGTAAAAAAAAATTGAAGCAGTCTAGATGTCCATCAATTGGTGTCCATCAATCGATGAATGGATAATGAAAATGTGGTACATACACACAATGGAATTCTACTCAGCTATAAAGAAGAATGAAATCATGAACTGTGCAGATAAAGGATGACAGAAGAAAATATTATGCTGAGTGAGGTGACCAGAAAGACAAATGCTGCACGTTATCTCCTATAGGTGGTTCCGAGCCCTGACTCTTTAGGTTTGAGTATACAAATTGGAGTAATCACAGAAATCAGGATGGCAGAATGCGACCAGTGGGGAAAGTGGGAGAGAGAATGAGAGCAGAACACAAGTGTTATAAAAGGGGAAAATTAGGGTGGGAGAGACGTAACTGGGAAGGCAAAGGAGGAGAGTGCAGAGGGAGACCAGTAGAGAGGGACAGATACACTAAGGGTGTTTTAAAAAGTCATAGAGGCTCTCTTAAAAATACATAAAATCGGGACTAGAGAGACGGCTGCTCTTGAAAAGGACTGGGGTTTGGCTCCTAGCGCCCACATGGCAGCTAACAACTGTCCATGACTCCAATTACAGGATCTGGCTCCCTCTCCTAACCTCCTTGGATGTTGCACAATATGGGTACACTTACACACATGCAGGCAATATACTCATGCACATAAAAAATATATAAAATACACGAGAGAGAGAGAGAGAGAGAGAGAGAGAAACTTACACATATAGTTGAATTGAAGTCATCCCACACAGGGGGATAATGCTACCCCAGAAGCCAATGAGTATGAAACAGAAAGACTAGTGCCAGGCAAGGAATACTTCCCTTGGACTTTATCAGGAGAGTCCAAAAAGCCCCCACAACAAAATAGGCTGTTGTCTCTGCTCTTGGTTGCCTGCCAGAACTTGAGGTAAAACCCTAGTGCTGAAGATACCATATACTTTGGTCACAGGACATGGGGAAATCAAGCTGGTACTGACTGGAAGCTTCCTCCCTAATTGCTATCTCTAGTATTATCCAAAGGTGCTATGCAAGGTGCTGGGGGGTGGGGGTAGGGGGGAATTATGAGACCTACTGAGCTGTAAAGATATACTCAATGGTGCAAGAGTGGCATTAATGTATTGGGGGTAAATCAAAAGCTTTCTAGTTGGGCTTCAAGCCTGGTCAATGGGAGAGAATGCATGTGATACTGTAAACCTATCAGAGAACTTGTGGCTAGAGAGGTCACAGACCTAGAGGGGAAACTTCTACTATCATTCCACT